ACTAGATGATCTTCTCAGGTCCCTTCTGACCCTAGAAACTATGAAACTATGAGACTAAGGTACTGTTGCCTGGGTTTGTGCGAGACCAGGGTAAAGAGCAGAGGTGCATATTACAGCTTATATCAGCTGTGGCAGCCGGCTTTAGAGGGGGTGCGCTAGGGCAGCCGTTCTAGCACTGCTGGATGAAATCCCCTGCTGCAGATTGCACAGATGGCACCAACAGCCCAAGCTCTGTGGCAGGTACAAACATGCACAGCAGACTTGGGTGTGGGCCTCGGCAGCGCCACCATGGGGACTTGGAAATAACCAGCCCCAAAAGCCATCAACGGCCATAAGGGCAGGTGGCTGAGTAGGTGGAGCTGTCGATGGAGCACAAGGCTTGTTCTCAGCTGTGTGAGTCTTCCTACTGACTTGGTCACCGAAGCAGCCTTCTTGCACTCTCTTGGGTCTTTTGCAAGTGTCGTTGTTGCAAGCTCAGTCTCTTTTTCTGCAGATGAGATCTTGGAAGAAGAGGTCAGGGCCCTGAAAGCACAGGGGCACTGGGGTTTTGTTCTCCATCCAGATGTGGAGGTGCCTCGCCCTGCCCCAGAATTCCCAGTCCTTCTGTGCTTGGAGGGCAGGTTTTGGCTCCCTTTGTTTTCCTGGTGTGTGACATTGCTTCCCTTGGGCATTTGTTCAATCCCTTCCAGCTCCTGATCCCGCTGAAATCCCAGGAAGACTTGGACCGAGCGGTGGAACACTTGGACCTGAGCCCCTCTCTGAAGAGCTTGCGGATCTTTGTGAAGGCGCCAAAGAAAACGAGCGTGAGCCCTTTACCTTGTGTCCTCGCATGCACGGAGCAAGATGCAATGTTATTGGAGGTCGGGGGGGGTGGGGGGAGCGGGAACGAGAGGCTTCTAACGGCACGGAGCAGAAGGGGAGCCTGCCTGGGAGGTGTCCACTCCAAGCTGGCCATCTTCTGCCCGTAAGCCTCTGATCTGGACTCCTTGCTGCCAGCAGCCCTGT